CTCCCTTTCTCAGACATGACTAGAACTCGGAGTGGCTTTGTCGTTTTCCTTGACAGGGATCTCGTCCCGTACCTTAATTCTAATTAAGTCTGAGAAAAGGATAATGAACTATTATACCTAAATTTTCGCAACCTGCCCCGATTGGCAAAAGCTCAATAGGTAGAACTCTTGATGTAATCCGGGGCTTACGAGTTCAGACATCAGGGTTTATGGCTCAATTTATTTCTAAAACGTACTGTTCAGAAGAATTTATAGGGTTTTTCACTTTTCAGCACACACAAAAGTTACACAATTTATAGCGGAGCTCTCACGCGCGAAGCGCGCAGCGGAGCACCATGGGTAAAAAAAATGTGGTAAACTACCCATCCGAGAAAATTTGGTAATCACGTGACCGTACACCGACCGCCCGCCCGCCCGCCCGACCGTCCGTCCGCACCACAGACATACCAATGTAAAATAATTCAATTAACAGGTATGGCAACCCGAATGCATCTCAAGGTTTTATTTGGAAAGAAATCGCATGGCCGCCCGGACTTTTAGAAAGAAAAAACAACAACAAAGTCGTGTCTTTTTCAACGTTATTTTTGATGTTTACACTCACGTGGATAACAGAGAAACTGAGCTAGAGCTAGTTTCTGAGAACAAAAGAGAAGAATTTTGTAGGAAGAAAAACATGAAAATTCAAAGCGGCTCTGAGACAATGAGAAATGCTAGTGGCCAGCAAGGTGAAACTGAGCGGCACTGAAAAATAAAAGCGAACATCAACACAGGAGACAAAATATTGGGTAAGAATTCCTCCATAAAAATAATGTGCAACTAGGAAGTTTGACGTTTAGTCCTACAAAACAGCGTTGTAGTTGTGCAAAACAACGGCAAAGAAGGACGAAAAGCGTGCTGCACGTGCAAATTTTGTTGTTTTGCTAATTAGAAAAAAAAGCGTGCTGCACGTGCAATTTGTTTTTTTGCTAATTAGATCTATTGATGCCATTTCCATTGGCCTCCCCGTTTAGCATTAGACGATTTAATTTTTTTTGTTTACAAGTTTTATTAACAAGAGCTTCGCTTTTAGCCCTGGCTAAATCTATATATTATTTTTTCTTGAAACGAGTGACACGCGAGCTTACAAGCTAATCTCACTTGTAACATCGCATCTCATGTCCCTAACAACAAACTGCCACCAAAATTTGCCAAATATGTGTGCCAAATATATGGGTCAACAGTTAATGATCTGAATGTCTGGATCCTCCACTGCCGTTCTTTGTCATGGCTTTAAGTTAATACGTTTACAGTTTGTTGCTTTTATTAGAAGTATATAAATGTAAGCTTCGTTAGCCCTGGGAACTCCTGGGATTTAGCCCTGACTACATCTATATATTAAATTAGTAATTAAACCCTTTCCGACGGCCGGTGTATCGGAGGATGATGCCCTTGGCTGAGAGATTGTCCGAAAAATAAATATTTGCATGGGAAGCGAAGCCTCGAGGTAAAATGTGAAATTTTGAGGAAAGTCCCGGGAGGGGGTACTCTCTATAATGGCCTATAGGGGGAGGCTCCACCTGAAAGGGGTATCTTTTTTAGGCTTCAGGTATATGAAAGGGTAGGGATTTTATCGTTGAAGGATACGAAAGGGTAGGGAAATTCACACCTTTGTGAAGGAAGCTGTGGAGGAAAATCTAAGCACAATTAATCAATTTGCTTACCATGAAAGTGGAAATTGCACTAGTTCACTGTTAGTGATCCAGCACTTTATCAACAAACACTTGGATAATCCAGACTGTGAGGCAGTACGGGTATTCGCAGCGGACTTCAGCAAAGTGTTCGACTCAGTCAGACACGAGCCACTATCTAATAAACTAAAGTTGCTGCCCCTGAATGCCTATAACAGACAACAACGTATAGTCCACAACAACTACCTTCACGAGTGGAAAGGAGTAAATAAGGGGACAACAGGGTAATTTGAGCGGCCCATTATTTGAGGTGTTTCTGAATGACCTTGAAATCAAGCCAGGTTCCACTCCTGCCCTATTTAAAAACGCAGATGACTCAACCATTGTCGTACCAGTGTGTGGAAAGGTGGCAGTGATACGTCAAGTGATTTAGTGGAGACGTTTTTAACCTGGGGGAACTGTAATTCCATAAGCTGTAACCCTAACAAGTGTAAAAAACTTGTCATAAAGAAGGAAGGGAACCCCACATTCTATCCTGTTGTACTTAATATACCACAACATGCCACTCTTGATTTATTAGGTTTGACCTTTCAGGAAGACTGTAAATTTTTTGCACACATAAAAGCTAAACTGTGCAAAGCCAACAAATGTCTACACGTGCTGAGAGTACGTAGAAAGGAGAGCTACAGCCAGAGAGAAATTGATTATCTCTTCTATAGTATTGTTTTTCCTAACATAACCAACGGACTATCTGTTTATGGTGCTTCCGGTGCCGAAATTGATGTTCTTCAGCAATTTTTAGATTTTTATCTACACAGTTAAATATTAGATCATTACTAGAAAAACAAGATGACGCGATTTTTAAAAAAGTTAAACAGCGCGATAACCACCCCCTGAAGGTATGCTTGCCGCAAGAAAAGAATAATTTAACCTACAAGCTTAGACGTTAACGCTGTCAAAGGCCCAAGATAAACACGGAAACTTAATAAGAACACATTTATAAATAGATTAATTTTTGAATACAACCATTTATGATATTTTATGTCAGATGTATATAACTAGTTTTTCACATTTTTAAATCTTTTTATTCTATTGTAATTTAGCTAAACTTTTAATCTTTTTTATCCTGCAACATAAAATATGTATTTTTATCTAATGAGCAATAAAGACATTTATTTATATTCTTCTTCTTCTTCTTCTTCTTCTTCTTCTTCTTCTTCTTATTCTTATTTTTATTATTACTGTTATTATTATTTAGGTCTGTGAAAGGGCCCAAAGGGCTAACAGATGATTTTCATGGCTTTATAAAGTCGAGAAAACGTTCTATTTTTGTGGTCGATTCCTATTTTAAAGACAGTGCATTTACAGCAGTTAAAAGGGATGCAAAGTTCTAAACAAGGTTTGTGAAAGGGGTACTGTTTGTTAATAAAAGGCATACGATAGGGGTAACTTTTTTGCAGAAAATGGTATACAAAAGGGTGAGGGGTTGGACCTCGGGGCGGAGCCTTCCCGTATAAATATTTGTTTAGTATCCCACTATTCGAAAACCACTGTGGCGAGTGTTTGAATGAACATTAACAGAGTTACGCTCCAACATAATAAAGAGTTAATTATGTTTATTTTTTTATTTTAAAATGGTCTTACGCGCGGCATTTTGAGTACTCCTGCAAGCGATGTTCACTGAACGACTGAAAACAATCGGCACAGCGACTAAAATTACAACAGAGACTACTAACAATCAATAAAAGATTTCATATATAATTCGGTGAAACATCTACAGAGACAGCAATTTTCATTCAGGAAGACAAGTATTAAAGTGTCTCTAAAAATCCTGAATCTTCAAGCTTAAAGTTTATGTTTTAAGCCGGCTTCCCGGTGTTTGCTTTTTTCAAAGACGAGCTCGAGGCAAGAAAATGAGTCAAAGTTTTCTTTTACAGCCAGAATTATAACTAAATATTCTTTGGAACGTTTTCTTTCTATTTGCAGTGAGAAACTGTCTAAACACTTTTTAAAGTTTTGTAAGTTTACATCAAACCTGAATCAATAGAGAGTTTTAGATCCGAGTTTACCGCGAACCTCTAACCGCTGGAGGTCACGTGACAAGTCTTTCGCGTCACGTTTGAGGTTTACGACGTGCGTTTTCAACGTGGGGAGATTCACGTATGTTATTTTCCTGAAAGCTTTCAGCGTATAATTCTTGTTTTATCCCACGTAATGATACAAAAATCTTGTGGAGCAAGTCTTTATCCATTCACAGAGGCACAAATTCGGGCGAAATGCTAAATCTGATAAATCCTATTGGATCTTAAAAACAAGTGCCATTCATGGCTGCTGATTCAAAATGGCGGCCGTAAAATTGCAAGAAGAACTAATGTAAGAATTTACAGCTCTTTGCTGCTAGATAACGCAGCGTTGCCGTAAATTTCTTTTATTTTCACTGATTGATTTTTCTTCTATTTCTAAATGGAAAAATAAACCAGAATCCACTTCTGTAATGACATTTAAAAACATCACTAGTTGACACAAAACTCTGTCAGCTTCGGCTGTCAAAGTAAACAAGATTCAAGATGCTGCATAAATTTTCCACATGAACTCACCTGTCAAATTTTGACCAATCAGAGCATAAAAATTGAACGTAGAGCGTGACCAACGCGTGACCATGGTGAGAAAAGTGAAAAGCAACAGTCTTTCCTGCCTGCAACAGCTGGCTGAATTTTCGCGTCTGAGGTCAGTTTGAAATCCAAATTTTAATTGTGCGGCACATAAACAACAACATATTTCATATGAATTTAAAAAAAAAGTTAAACTTGGGCCTGCGATCACTTGAAAACTAGTAACTGGTCAGCGGATAACTTCAAAAAAAATACTTGACCTCGATGGGTCGACACCTGAGCCCGCGATACGGTCAAATGATACTGGTCAGCGGCTACCTTGTTTTGACGGCTGTCAATTGAACATTGATGTCCAGGGGGGGTGATGAACTCGCCAATCGCTCCTATAGGGATCGCGCGGCGGATGATCTTGGCCATCGTGACGTCACGAGAAATTTATCCCGGGAACTTTAAATGGTTTCAGCGAGCGAAATTGTTTCGTGGTTTCAAGAGGTAAAAGTCGAGACGTTGCGATGAAACGACCGAAGGTATGTGTTTATCTATTAATGCTATATAGTAAAATTGCAATTTATCCTAGGAAAGAGCATTTCCATCGTAAAAAATCAAGAACTTCCCGAGATCGACCAGATGGTACAACTCATACCGGTGCGTCTTTAGAGACGCATAACTAAAAAGCCCAGCAGAATTTAGTCTCGAGAATAACAAATGACATTAATATGGTATAGGTCTATCAATTAGTGATAGAAGTGAGTCATCTAATAAGTTAGCAAAAATGATCAGTGGGATAAAAGTCGCAAACCTCAGGGATGTTTACAAAAATTGCGAAAGTGGCGTGGACAGGTCACGAAACATAGCGTCATGATGTTCATACTAGGCTATTAAATTGTGTAAACAATTTATTAAAACTAAACATATGTAAGAAGCAAGTGGTTTTTTTTTTTATAGAATATGGGCTATAATCTTCAAGGCTTTTGAAAGGATTTCCTGTTTGAGTCAACCGTATCAAAATGTTAATAAAGCGTACTGAATCTAATCGTCGCGCGATAACCAAGGATATTATTATAGCTTATTATATTGCAACTTTTCACTATAAATTACGATCATTTTGCCAAACATTCATTGCTCATGATGGAGATAAGTTCACATTACCTTTCTCTTTGCTTCTTCGCCCCACAAACAAAGGAGAACATGGTTTTTATCCAGTAAATAGTCAAACAGAATCTATCACTAGGGTAAAGTGCCGTAAGCTAAAGTTTTTGATCAACATCAACATTTTTAGGGCTTTATGCAGAGAATCCAAGAGGAGGAGCCGTAGAAAGGATGGGTATGTAGCTTTGCCTTAATCGCTTTACAGAGTTAATAGGAAAAAAAACTAGAAAAAGCCAAGAAAACGGACACTAGTAAGCGTTTCAATGGTGTAATATTGAAAATGTGTTTCCTCGGGCGTCCGCATCCAAAAATGAGGGGAAAAAAAATTTCTAAGGATATAAAAAATTGCAGGATTTTCATGCGATGAATATCATCACCCTTCTCACACTTTTACAATATAAAAAGAGACTTTTTTATGTTACATTTTTTCGGTTTTCCTTTTTGTGTAGATCAGTAAAGACACCAAAGTTCAAGAATGACAATATAGTTCAATAACTACACGAGTTCATTCATTGATGCTTGTTAACTTACTTGGACTCCATGCTATTGTCAGTTACATCAAGTGACACTGGCCAGTTCCAACAATTCGGGGCCTGCTCGTACAGTTTTATCACCCAGCTTGTACAGTTTTATCACTCAGCTGATGTAGCTTTGTGGTAATTTCTTGGTAGGCGTAACTTAGTGAAGACAATCATTCCATGACTATAGGTGTTCCATTATAATAGCTCTAAAGCCTTTCTTTAAAATTTGCTGTTGTACTGCCTCTGCTAATATATTTCACATAGCCTTGCCATTGCTATGGTATGATTACAGTTAGGTTGACAGGTATTCATTTCGCTATTGGTTTAAGATTAGAAACCAGTCTTTGGATTATCTTGATAGGTTGCTTGAAGTTACAAAAATTTATAATTCAAGGGAGAAATATTTTTTTACCGTTGCTTGGGGGGAGGGGGGTAGTTGTGTTTGTGGTTTCACTCACCTATATTAATGTGAAGTTTAGGGAGTAGTTGAGAAAAACCATTATAATATCTGATTTAAGAGATGCTTAACAAATAATTAGGGATTTTAAGTGATAATATTGCCTTTATTGATTTATTTTGTTTTGACTTTTGTATATATAATAATCTCTTTTTATCTGACTGTTTTTATAATTAGGTGCTTCCTTGGCTGGGAATACTCTGTAGATGATGAGAAAAAACATGCAGTGTATGATGGAGGAGGTGCTGCTTACTGGATGTCTGTAAAGATCTAGTATAATAGATTCCACGAAGAGAGTAGTGCGGTGCGGGAAGTGGAGGATGTTAGATGGAGTGGATTCCATGGAGCAAGAAGAGACCATACAGGATACAAGAAATTAGAAGAACCAGTTTCCTTTTATTTTTTATATACTGAACAAATATGTTATCTTTCTTGCATAACAGGTCTGACTAAGACTTGTTTACATTTAAAAGCTTTGCACATTGACTTTGATTAAAAGAAACGGTTTTTTATCAATAAAATTTTCTTACACTGGTGTTTTTCTTTTACTTCTTCTTTAACTTTTTGGTCTCTTCAAGAATTTGGTTAGCCAAGCAGTCTAGCTGCCCTGCCATTAGTTGCAGTTGGGCAGCTGCCCGCTTCGCCTCTGTTACTGTGTTTTTAATTTCCTTTTGCTTTTTGTTTTAACCTTTCTTCTTTTCCTTTCAACTCTTTCTCTTCTCTTTCAATTTCCTTTCTCCTCAGCTCAATCTCAGTGGCTGCCAGTCAACTCCTTACTTCCATTTCTTCTTCCAGGGATAACTGTAAAAATGAGTAACCCACCTATAATAATCTGTCTATTATTGTTAACATATCTTACCCTATCCTTGGAGACCCAGGGGCAGATAGTGGGGGCAAGGGAAAGTCTAAACGGGCGGAATTTTTACCACGGCCGATCGGAGCGCTTTGCTTGTTTTGAAACGCCACCAAGCAGGGAAGTTTTTGAAGAATTTTCAGGTACATTTTGTACTCTATAGCCAAGAAAATTACGCATTTTGAAAACCTTTCATTACTTCAACCGTTCGTCAGCAGATAATTGTAGTAACTGTGACCATAGGCTTTTTCTCCACGGTACTTCGCTCAGGATAGGGTAGGAGTGTCAGGATGGTATTTGATTTCCAGAGCTAAGACTTTCCAGTAATTTACTACAATAATCAAGCTACCATTTTATGTTGATTTTATGATCAAGCGGCATATATCAGATGCCTTTTATAATAGTCAAAGTTAGCTTTTATTTTCTAGCATGTCCAACGTCACAAATATGACCTCTTTAGACTTGTCGATTATAACAATTGAAAACGTTCTTTTTAAAATTTTCTTTTAGGAATTTAAAGAGTAAGAACGAAATAATAATTGGCTGAAGTTTCAATATCAGGGAATGTTTCTTACGCGTTCGCTCTTCTCTCGAAGTTGCCGTTGCACGCTGCCGTGTTTTGTGCGAAAAATAGGCGTAAAATCGATTTTTCAAACTTTTTCTAATTTCTCCTTTAAAATGACTCGTTTGAACCCAAAACTATTTTTCCTTAAATTAGGTCAGTAAAAATGATGTTTTGGCTAAAGAATAAAAAATTCGATTTTTTGACGAGTGTCTTGCGATTCTCGATTTTCTCAGAAAATGGCTCTTAATAACTATTAATAACAAATGTTTGGAAAAAAGGATGAGTAAAGAAAAACATTTTACTTTTTAAAAAGAAACTACAGTAGAACTTGGTTAATACGGACAATTAGGGCAAATGCCTTGGTGTCCGTATCATCCTGATGGCCGTAATAAGTGGGCTCTCCGATGTTGTATTGATATAAAGACTATAGCAGACAATAGAGGAAGAAGGGTAGGGACAGTGACTGCGGCGAAAAGCCAATAAGGAAGTGAAACGTTTGTAGCAGAAAAAAATATATTAAATGGCTATATAGTACAAGGTCAAACCCGGGAAAGACTAACTTAAAAAATCTGTCATTGTTTAAACAGTGTAGAATATCTACAATTAGCACGTGATTGTTACAAGGAAAATAGACAGCGCGCAGATAACCAGTGTCCGTGTAAATAGCAGGGGTTAACAATGTATGCGAGTTTGTGCCTCGGGAAACAAAAAAGTGTCCGTTGTCCATATTAAACGGTGTCCGTATTAAGCGGGTAAATGTTAGAAACTCTCCGTTATATACGGTGTTTCGTATTGCAGAAATTAAAATTTTATGTCTGTCCTCTTATTGTTGAAATCAGCAAATCAGCGCACGAGAATTAACTCAGTCAGATTGTAAAAAAAATAGAACTTTTAAAAACGGTGTAGCGTCGGTAATAAGAGACTTTTACTTTATACCTTTTTATCTATCAAAAAAAAAAAATCTTACTGAGTGGTCTTGTGTTATGAGGTTGCCTTGGAACATTGGTACCAAGGTCGAGGTTCAAAATCCCTTAAGTTAGAATGCCCATGAACTCAAAAGGAAGTATCAACTATTCCTGTTTGATTTTTTCATTGCCTGCAGTTTCATGTAATTTCATTTTCTTCTTCAGCACTGATCCGTGTGCGTCAAGAGATGCGTCATAGAGTAAATAACGGAAAGCAGCGAACCACACTTAGCTGGAGAGCCTCCCTTTATAAAAACAAGCTCGCGCAAGTGTCAGATACGATTGAAGCTTGTTATCATAATGATCAGGCTCAAACGCGCAAAATAAAGTTTTTTCTTTCTGAGTTTGCGTGCTAGCGGCATGTTGCAAATTATGATGACCGTAGTACATAACATTTTTTGTTTATCAGTATTTACATTAAATGTTTCAGTCATTTTAACTTGTATTTTTCCTCAGACCGAATTAAAAGCCGGGCCCCCAGCCCCAAGTGAGTGATTGAATTCATAAAGTCCATTGGACGATATCCCTACTGAATATTGATAAGTTTTGAAGGAGGTTTCACATTATTGAAAAGCATGATAAACGGGCAAAGTTGCTAATCTAAATTTATGATTTTTTTATGACGTTCTCGTTCCTGTGGTGGCTCTCTATTGTAAAAGCTGCTAATGTAAAAAAAGAAAAAAAAGGGACTTGCGCACGGTACGAATACATTACTAATTGAAGTCGTATTATTTTATCTTCGTTTGGAGTTTTTGGTAAAAGGTCGTAAAGCAAATTGGAACAGAATTAACAAACAAGGGTAAAGGGAAGGAAGAGCGAAATAAAATACACTGTAACGGAAAGAAAAGCGGATGTAGCAGACTGAATTTCTTTCAAAGGTTACTGTGAATGAATAAAAATAAAATCCAAACACATTTTTAAAACCGTTGTAGCGTCGGTAATAAGAGACTTTTACTTTATACCTTTGTAACGATAAAAATAATAAATAAATAAATAAAAATTCTTACTGAGTGGTCTTGTGCTAGAAGGTTGTCTTGGAGCATTGGTACCAAGGTCGAGTTTCAAAATCCCTTGAGTGAGGATGCCCATGAACTCAAAATCAAGATGAACTATTCCTGTTTGATTTTTTCATTGCCTGCTTTTTCAGGCAATTTCATTTTTTTCTTCTGCACTGATCCGTGTGCGTCAAGAGATGCGTCATAGAGTAAATAACGGAAAGCAGCGAACCACACTTTGCTGGAGAGCCTCCCTTTATAAAAACAAGCTCGTGCAAGTGTCAGATACGATTGAAGCTTGTTATCATAAACTAGTCCGAGTTTGCGCGTTTTTATTTCGAAAAAGAAAGACTCGAACGCAGCTAGCGGCATGATGCTCTCTCTTCAAATGGTGCAGTTTTAATCTCCCAGCCTACTGCGAATTTCAGTGACGTTGCAGTTTAGCCCCTCCAGAGTTTATTTAACTCAGTCGGAGGCGTAGCGTTCACATTCTCCATATTTGGCATACCCGATCTTCCTATCAGTCATCTCTCTTTCCATATAAGGAGCATATTAAGCAACCACGACTGCGACGGCATGGAGCAAAAACGCCACAAAATAATGTATTCACGCTGTTTCAAATTAATTTTTATCACTCTTATTCCATTTCGTTCAAGTTGATTGTCAAATGTGGGTGAATGGTTTTTGGTGTTTAATTCTAAGGTAATGTATCTCCATGTAGGAAAAGTAAAAACAATCGTTTTCTAGTCTGAAAGCGTTCCGTGTTTAGTAGTGTTTAAAACACGAACAGCAGTGTTTTATCACTGGACAGGTTTAAATTTCGAGCGTAATAAGCGAAAGATTTTTTTTACCAGTGATAAAACGCGTGCCTTGTTTTTTTGACAAGTCTTAAAAAAATTCGAGTTTATTTAACACATGTTAAGGGACTTGCCCAGCCCCTTATCTGTAACAGGTTTAAGAAAATGGTCGAATGCGCACTCTCGAAATATCGGACCCAGAAACAAGTTAGACATGCCTTCCTTTAGATTCACTGCCGGTCAGCGGCCATGAGGAGTCCGCCTTTGCAATGACTTTGCAGAATCTTCAGGTAATATGAAGTAATCTCGAGCAGCTGAAGGCTGAAGTGAAGAAGCGTCATTTCCTTATTTCATTTTTTTCCCCCAATAAATTTCACCTATTTTAAAGTAGATAATTAGTATGTGTAATCAAATGGTGACGAGTGAAATTAGGGAATAGTTTCACGCGCGTACCAACGCAAGTGAAATTATTCCCCAATTTCGCGAGTATACCATTTGATTACCTATTAATATCATGGGTGACGAATTACGTTAGCAGTCTTGGATTTTTGACACGTTTATCTTGTATCGTATCGATCGAGAACTCCACTCTCTCAAATGTTGGTCCGATATAATTATGCAAATACATTGTACAACCTCAAGTACACAGTTTAGAGACCTGTTCACGTGTAGGTGAGTAACCCGCCTGTCCATATAATCTCTCATTTTAATTTGATCAAGCTTACATGATAGGTGGGGGTGACCATTGAGAGATTGTAAAGACAGGCGGGTTACCCTACCTAAGCGGGTCACCTCACTAACCTGGGGACCCCCACTTCCATGTAAACAGGCCCTAAGCGTCTACCTGCCTTCGCAAAACGGCTATCCAAATTAAAGAAATTTCCACAGTTATTCTGAATCGTTCAAGAGGAAAAAACGTTCGAAGAGAGTGTCACTACATCTAACTGCGATACGACGCGACATAATGGGAATTGATATAAATTATTAATAAGTTTTGCGGAATTGCAAACCGGTCAGTGACTGGTACATGTAAGAATCACTTCACCAACTTATTCTTGGATCGATGAATAAACAGTCGTGAAATTAGATTAGTCTGGTG